TTGGATCTCACCAGGAACATTTTCAGAATGTTTCATATTGTCTTTCTTAACTATGGTTACAGCTCCTTTGGTTGTCTTGTATATCTTTTGATAATGTCAATCACTGGTTTGTCTGGTCCTTACAAGACATAACAGTGATTGATATTAGGAGTAACATCCCACATTGGGTTCAATGACACACAATCTACCAAGTCACTTAGTTGGAGTGAGTGAGTTGGGTTAAACGCCGCTTTTAACAGCATTCAAGTTATATCGTGGCGTGTCAGCTTAATGTGGGAGGAAAGCCCGAAGTGATGCAGATCTCAGACGTTTACAACTTCGTTGAAACCCACGAGCACGGGGAGGGTGGTGACGATACTAGGAACATGATCAGGGTGAACTGGGATTCGAACCCACAATCATAGGTTTCTGGCATGCCCAAGGGATGCAACTCTGCCCAGCGAATCGTAGCACCTGAGACGACTGGGCCACCGGTGCCCCCCACTGAGTTGGAAACACTTGATCCATTTAGTAATCTTCGATGACAAGCACTCGGTTGTAGGAGGCCTGGCAATCTTAACTCCCCACTGAGTTTCAGACAGAACTGACCTTTATTGAGTAATTGACCTATTATAACCTATAATACTCTTTATAACAAACAATGGCACTTCCTACAAATAGGCACTAATTATGTTGGTGAGTAAGAGGTATGAAGCCACTTTGGCATTATTCCAGCAATATCACACAGAAATGGGCTTCACACATTGTACCCATGTCGGGAATTGAACCCGGGTCTTCGGCATGACGAGCAAATGCTTTAACCACAAGGCTAACCACCACCCCACAAAATATCATGGAACAACATAGTCATTCTCATAAGATGAAAATTGAATGATTCAACTAAATATGTTGTGGTAGAAGCAAAGATCTCAGAGACTTGTTTCCTTGGGAGCTATATTCTTGGTTGCCTGTTTTTCATCACATGAATCTTGAATGGAAGTCTTGAAAAGCATTGCTGTCCTTGGGCTGCAATTATTGGACCATTTCAATGACCATTTTCAGCCAGAGATTGTCTCAAACAGGGTCTGCATTGCTACATCAGCCAGAATTGGGATTCATTCGTTACTGACCCAACACTAGATCCTCAGTGTCGCTTGACAGGATAACTCAAAATTGGTCACTACTTTCTGTCAATTCCGCCTGAGTTAATTCCCTTAGCTGTCTGTCACTGTTAGCGATTGTGTTACAAATAGAGCATCTCTGTGACTCAGTTACAGACAAACACCCTCATCAGGCCAAAACCTGTAGCAGGAGAGGTGAGACAAACAGACACTTCATACAGCGGAGATATGAATGTTTGTGTTCAGATGTGCTGCAGGGCGCTCACAAAGATGTTTAGGTGAACCCTTTGGATTTAAAGTGTGCCAACAAAAAGTATGCTTTTATCCTGCTTCGTATCCAGTGCATGTGATTTCAATATGAGTAGCTAATAACATTGTAATCGTATACATTTGTCTCCTTCTTGAAATTCATAACATCCTCTTTGATTCCTGAATGCCCGGGGTTATTTTATGAATCTGACTGAATTAATTGTGTTCATGTGTTCAATGATTGTCACTGGTGTGTAATATACGCCATAAGGTATTTCATTTTTTTTAAATTTATTTCTAAGGTGCCCTTTAAACTGTGTGCCCTTATGACTTTAACTGTTGCACTGTTATGCAAGGAATTTGAACCCTGAGCAGTGTCGGCAGGGGTTGAAAATTTATGAAAATGTTACTTGATCAAGGGCAAGTATGACCAACATTCTTACTTGCCCTTCTTTAAAATGTACTTGCCCAAAATTAAGCTAATAAATTCAGTGAAATGTTATATCTTCAGAACTGAGAATCAGAGATACAGTGTTCCCTCGCTATTGCACCCCTCAATATAGCACTAACTCGGTTATAGTGCGCGGTTACACATGGCTCCCAAAATGACTTACATATTTAATAAACTCAAGTTTTACAGTGACACCATTTTTCCCCCATCTATAACAAACATCAGCTGATCACTGCAAGCACGTTATACCAGAAATACCAGTCAACAAATCGGAACTTAAGTACACAATTTAATCCCATTATTATATGATTATAAACGTGTTCATTGTATATCTGCACTTAGGTTTGTAATATGATTTATTTATTTTATTCAAAATTTCATTCAATATTTGTTTACATTCATTTCGGAGAAATCATGTGTGAAGTGATAGGTAGATCGCACAATTCACCATTATTTAAAGCAACCATGGTCAGATTACCACCATTGACGCCTTGAAACGAAATTTAGTTGCCAGGGAATGGATACATATATCATAAATGCCATACTTTGACCCATGAAAAGTCATATTTGTTGTAGTTTAACTTATCAAGAGCGCGTGAACCTCGATGGTGACTGGCGTAGTCAAACAAAATATTTCATCAAAGCAAATGAAGCATCAAAATTCCAAAAAATGTAGTCAACTGTCCGTCATTCCATTTCCAAGAAGCATGTGCCGTATTTGGAAGTGTTACTACAATTTGTCAATGAAACAAGCCTGGTTCTCATGTTGTTGACCTGCCTGACATCGAAGTGTATTAATCCCATTGGTTGACGTAACTGATGTAACTGTATGCAAATTAGATTGCCAGTCTGGGACACCAGCAAAATATTAGCCAATGAAATATTGTAACATGATCACATGATTACATTCTCGTGAAACTTGATCTAGTTCATTTTGTGTGCTCCACTTGTCCACGGGCATGCTAGAAAACGTATATTACTCGCCCGACACCCACAGGCGTTGGGCAAAGGTATTTTGACAATTCAGATGAAGCAGGACACTGACTGTGACATTTGCAATGTCGCAAATAACGTTGTCCATGTTTCATGGCGTTACACGACTGGCTCTATGGTCTTGTGGTAGAGAGTCCACCCGGAAAACGAAAGGTCAGGGGTTCTATCACTGGCAGCGTCATACAAAAAGACGTTAAAAGATGGTACTTGTTGGTACCCTGTCTGGTGATTGGCATTAAGGGGCTAAAACAAGGACTTGGTCGGCTCGGAGTCAGAAAACTGTGTCTGAGTGGGGTATTCATGTTAATCTACGGCATGGTATCTCAGTGGGCTAGCACTATCAATCGGCATCAGTCTGGACTAGTACAAGCAGCCACATGCAGGTCACTATATAAGCGCAATAATTTTGGACGAGACGTTAAACCATATTTCACCTCACCTCCTCATGACGTTACAGATGGTTTGTACAAGAAATGGCATGATCTGTAAACCCACGGTCACTGTCTGGTCTCTAGTGCTACACCTCTTGGGCTTAACTTATCATAGTTAGAGCACTGTGATAGCTATGTTGGGCAGGGCCCTAGGTATTAATTCCTGACCTCATGGAGACTTAATGAATAAATGGAACAACTTTTTTTTTCCAAAGATCTTTTAAAAAAAAGAGTCTCACTGCTGTAATTACAAGCTAGCTGTTTCTCTCGGGTTGTAATTAAGTGTTTTTATGACATTTTTAGTAAAACGCATTGCACGTTTTCTCGTAGGAATTTAAATTCTACTCAACATTCATCACTGCTATGGCGTCATTTCCAGCTTCTGCCCTTTAATGTCTATGAGATGCTTACAGTGCTGGAGCCTCCGTTAACTGCTTACAGGAATTGGCTCTTTATTTTTCCTTAAAGAAGAAAAACATTTCAGCCTAGTGCACTTTAGAAATTAAATGCTCGCGTAAGAGAGCTTTTTTGTCTCTCACTTGGGAATCCAAATTTGGCATCGGGTGCATTTCAAAGGTGATTTTATTTGACCAGAATTTTAAGCTGAATCAATGCTTGATCTATTCATGGTGCCTCCTGGATTTGTCTGATTTGTTTGGAGATTTCATCATCAGTTGTTACTTGCAACTCATCAATACTTGTGTATCATACTGTACTTATTGACGTTCTTGATATTCTTGACACCTCACTAACATCAGATGTTTATTGAAGCAATCACTGATGCCTTTTTAAACAACCACTTCACGCCAACAGACCCTTTTCCTGACACACCCACTGCATCCTCCGACACCCACTGCATCTGCCGACACACCCACTGCATCCTCCGACACCCACTGCATCCTCCGACACACCCACTGCATCCTCCGACACACGCGACAAACTGCATCCTCCAACACACCCACTGCATCCTCTGATACACCCACTGCATCCTCCGACACAAACTGCATCCTCCGACACACCTACTGCATCCTTCGACACAAACTGCATCCTCCGACACACCCACTGCATCCTCGGACACAAACTGCATCCTCCGACACACCCACTGCATCCTCTGACATACCCACTGCATCCTCCGACACACCCACTGCATCCTCTGACACACCCACTGCATCCTCCGACACAAACTGCATCCTCTGACACACCCACTGCATCCTCCGACAGAAAACTGCATCCTCCGACACACCCTCTGCATCCTCCGACACACCCACTGCATCTTTCGACACACCCACTGCATCCCCTGACGCACCCACTGCATCCCCTGACGCACCCACTGCATCCCCTGACACACCCACTGCATCTTCCGACACACCCACTGCATCATCTGACACACCCACTGCATCCTCTGTAAACTGGTAAACTAATGAGACTTAATAACCCACTCACTGATGGCTGCTGAAAACTAGATCCATTGATACCTACTGAAAAATAGTGCCTGCAACTGGCTGACCTACCCACAATGGACTGACGACTACTGAACCAACCACTGACCTACCAACTTGTGTCTACTGTCCCATTCTCTGTTACTACTGACTCCAACACTGACTGACTCCAGCACCAACTGACCTGTTTTACATTACAGGAAGAGGCAGTCAACAATAACCATCCGTAGGTGATTTAAGGCTATCTCTAACAGTCTGCATTTACATTACAAACAAGATACCAACAGTGATTGCTTGGGTGATGAAAGCTTACATCTGGTTTGCTTTTGCATTACAGGAACAGGCAGTCAACAGCGAGCATCTATGGGTGGAGACCAATGCCTCAGGAGACTACTGTTATGCAATGGAACCTGATTGTCTGGTAAGTTATCATCTATCTATCGAAATATCAGTTTATCTGTCCAACAGTCACGTTCATGTCTCTGTCCATCAGTCTGTTCACCTGTCTGTCCATCAGTCTGTCCATCTGTCTGTTCATCACTCTGTCCATCTGTCTTTTCATCACTCTGTCCATCTGTCTGTTCATCAGTCTGACCATCTGTCTGTCCATCAGTCTGTTCACCTGTCTGTCCATCAGTATGTTCACCTGTATGTCCATCTGTCTGTCCATCAGTCTGTTCATCTCTGTCCATCTGTCTGTTCATCAGTCTGTCCATCTGTCTGTTCATAAGTCGGTTCATCTGTCTGTTCACCTGTCTGCCCATCAGTATGTTCACCTGTCTGTCCATCTGTCTGTTTATCACTCTGTCCATCTGTCTTTTCATCACTCTGTCCATCTGTCTGTTCATCAGTCTGACCATCTGTCTGTCCATCAGTCTGTTCATCTCTGTCCATCTGTCTGTTCATCAGTCTGTCCATCTGTTTGTTCATAAGTCTGTTCATCTGTCTGTTCACCTGTCTGCCCATCAGTCTGTTCACCTGTCTGTCTATCAGTATGTTCACATGTCTGTCCATCAGTCTCTCAATCTGTCTGTCCATCAGTCTGTTCATCTGTCTGTCCATCTGTCTGTTCATCTGTCTGTACATCTGTCTGTTCACCAGTCTGTCCATCAGTCTATTTATCAGTCTGTTCATCTGTCTGTCCATCAGTCTGTTCATCTGTCTGTCCATCAGTCTGTCCATCTGTCTGTTCATTTGTTTGTCCATCAGTCTGTTCATCTGCTTGTCCATCAGTCTGTTCATCTGTCTGTCCATCAGTCTGTTCATCTGTCTGTCCATCAGTCTGTTCATCTGTTTGTCCATCAGTCTGTTCATCTGTCTGTCCATCTGCTGTTCATCTGTTTGTCCATCAGTCTGTTCATCTGTCTGTCCTCATAATGTATACACAGAGATATTATCAATCGGTAGCAATCATTGGTGATGCCATGTTTAGCACGATGCAAAATTATGTAGTCAGTTGTGTCAACACATTTTATACATTGCCATCAAAATTATATTCCATTTTGCAGAATTTCTGTGGCATTTGAGGATGTCTTTTACAGCTTGGAATTCCTTTCATTTTGTGTATAGACTCTAGAGAGTTGTTCCCAAAAAATGCATTCCAATACTGACAAGAGTGTTATAATATTTCATTTCGAAAGGTCTTATCAATCAGTGTCAAGAAAAGAAGCTCTCTTGATTTTATTACAGCGGTGCATTGTCAGACTAAAAACAATCTACAGACAAGTTATATGTTCAGTCATTTGTTCAATACATCTATCACAGGAAAAAAAGGTTTGGAGTTGGCGAAATATTAGTTACAAGCTGGATTCCCCTCCAAGCTAATACAGCAAGAGCACTGTGGTGCATTATGGGATATATATTATCCTGACGGCGCCATCTGGCAGGTGGTCTTCATCTCAATGAGCATGTGCTGGATAATAGCCGTTAATTGCCGTGTAAAGCATCCTTGATTACAGTGCAGATTTGTTCAGTAGGGCAGCCCACGCAGACCAAATAACCCAGCCTTGGTTTCGGCACAAGCCGAATGATTGGCTGTAGTTCTCTGTGTTGTCAAATGCTGGAAAAGTTGATCACCAGTGCAAGTGTTGGTGTCCTCTTGTCAATATCAAGCAGATCTTTACTCATGCTAGCTGCTGTACAACTAATTGCCATAGTTAAACATATCTGCCAGTTCAAGATGGCCATCAAGGGATCTAATTGGTCTTTTCTTATTTATACTATTTCACTGTTGATCTAGACAGAATTTATACTGGGAAACACATGTTTCATCCACAGTTGTATAAATAGCTCGATCGGAGAGTTATAGCAACAGAAATGATTCACCTATGAACCAGATGAGAATGGCCATCCAACTTGGATTAATTATCAGTTGTCTGGAAGACTGTATTGGATATCATTTAGACCATAATCAGAATATTTTCGTCTGGGATTCTTGTTGTTACAGACGTGTAAATCAGGGTTTTCATAATTGGCTTTTATCTCGTAGATTATGAGTCATCTTTTCGCTTGTCGCTCAGCTCGTTTGGACGAGACACTGTCACAGGGTTCTGTATGGGTGAGAGTAAACAAGGTAGTCACTAAGATACCATTCAGTCCAGGGTTTGACACTCCTTGTGTTTGCAATAAGAGTTTAATGTTTGTAGGTGCACTGCACTATGCAGCACTATTTTCACACAAATAAATTGGACAAACACAGGAGTGGATGAGTGAGTGAGTTGGGTTTAACACCGCTTTTATCAGTATTCCAGTTATATCACGGCGTGCCAGCTTAATATGGGAGGAAATCCCGAAGTGTAGCAGGTCTTGGCGTTTACCACTTCGGTGAAACCACGAGCACGGGTATGGTGCTGACAAACCTAGAAACATTATCAGGGTGACTTGAGATTCGAACCCACAATCATAGCTTTCTGGCATGTCTAAGTCCCAAAGTTATGAATTCACACAACGAAAAGATTTTCAAACAGCCTGTTGTGGGTTTTTTCTCGATTCCAGGGCAGAATATGTGCCCAGTACCCCATGCTTGTCCCACATGAAGATCCAGGTTAGAATTGGTCTTCAGCAACAAGTGCTTTTAAAAGAGGAGACCAACAGGATTGGGTGATCCGACTTGCTAACTTGGTTGACACATGTCAATGTATCCCAATTGGGTTGTTCGATGCTCATGATGTCAATCACTGGATTGTCTGGTCCAGACTTGAATATTTACAGTCATATATATTGTTTTACACAACATTCAGCACTATTCATTGTATATCATGAAGACCCGGTCAACCAGTTGTTCAAGAAGAAGTGCACTATTCATTGTGTATGATGGCGACCTGGTCAACCAGTGGTTCAAGAAGAAGTGCACTATTCATTGTGTATGATGGCGACCTGGTCAACCAGTGGTTCAAGAAGAAGTGCACTATTCATTGTATATCATGGCGACCTGGTCAACCAGTGGTTCAAGAAGAAGTGCACTATTCATTGTATATCATGGCGACCTGGTCAACCAGTGGTTCAAGAAGAAGTGCACTATTCATTGTGTATGATGGCGACCTGGTCAACCAGTGGTTCAAGAAGAAGTGCACTATTCATTGTATATCATGGCGACCCAGTCAACCAGTGGTTTAAGAAGAAGTGCACTATTCATTGTGTATGATGGCGACCTGGTCAACCAGTGGTTCAAGAAGAAGTGCACTATTCATTGTGTATGATGGCGACCTGGTCAACCAGTGGTTCAAGAAGAAGTGCACTATTCATTGTGTATGATGGCGACCTGGTCAACCAGTGGTTCAAGAAGAAGTGCACTATTCATTGTGTATGATGGCGACCTGGTCAACCAGTGGTTCAAGAAGAAGTGCACTATTCATTGTGAACCATGTCGTATGAAATACCAGAGTATCCCTATGAAAATCTGAGTAGTGTTATTCTGTGAGGTGACAGTGTTAAAAACATAGCACTATAGAACTGATGTGCCGTACTTACTCTCCATCAGCAGAAAACTATTTCCCTTTAGCACTCAGAAGGGTAGAGTGATCATTTCCAATAATTGCACTTGTGCATTTTAGTGATTCTCAATGCACTTTAGTGTTTCATTGTTGAGAAAAATATGACATGACGTCATCCAATGTTCATGAAGTCACAAATTAATTATGTTAAATTTATCTGTAGGATTGATATTTCTTACGGGTTTTTTTCAGTTTGTCTCTTAAAATATAATAAAACTCAGAATTACTGTATATCTGTCCCAAGTACTGTACTTCCTCATAGTTTATTCTCTCGATATTTCATTAAGACATTGCAAACTTCTCTCTCTGGTAAACATTATGACTAATAAGGTGTTGTTTGGAAAAGTGACAGCTTTGTTCAAGATGGAGACTCCAGTCCTTTCTGTCCTGCATGCATCATAATTCATGGTTCTAGAATTCGAGGAAGAACCTGATTCAGACATGCAAACTAACCACTGAGTGCCACCTCAACAAGCTGAGAACATTTCTTATATATTCTTCTCTGACGTAACCATGGATCAGGAGACTGAAGTTTTTCTTGTTTTTCATCAAATTATTTTTTGCCTTTACCACCCTTAGAGAGTTAAGTGTTTTAGCTGGGAGCCGGAGGGAGTATGACCTCAATCTGCGATGAAATCGTCATGTGTCTATATGTTGTTTCCGTGTCAAGAACTAATTACTTCAATTCTCAAAGGGACCATTACAACAGTTTTTTCCCTCGGCATTTCATTTCCTGCGCATGTTTAATGAAGAACCTATGTTTCCTCCATCTATGGAGAGCTCTGAAGAAGGACAGCACTTATTATCTACCAATCAATTTGCTCATTATGTGTGCCAACTGTTGGCACCTTAACGGAAACCTGGAATTGATATCTTTGGGCTAGTGGCAAAAGTCAAGATACTGTACACTTAAACTTTATAAAACAGCAAGACTTGACAGTGTTTCAAAATACTATTTTCAATTAGTGTTGACTCAGATGAACTCCATTCAAAATAATGTGTGAACCAAGCTGATGTTGGCGAATTATTTTTGTAAAAATACACAATTTGTTCTCAGGAATGTGCTTTTGAAACATTGATGAGGACAGGCTATTTTTATTGATGTAGATCCCAGGAGTAAGTGTATTCAATATATTTTTGTCTGAAAGCAGAATTATTATATACTGCTGGAATTTGAGATATTTCATTCTGTTAAGACTGTAGGTGGACAGCAGCTTGTTGGAATTTGTGTTCTTTTGTTTTATTAAAACGGGAATTGTAGTCGAAAATAACAGGTTACATTTTGTTAGCCTTCCTGGCGCGTGGCATGAATTAAGGGGACTGGTCATCTCAATGTCAGTATACTAAGGACAATGTACTGTCTAGAACAATGTATGACTGACAATATACTGGACACAAGGACAAAAACACATTTCAGAACATGGTTACA